TGCTGTCATGGATTGAATTGTGTCCCCCAAAATATGTGCATCAACTTGGCTGGGTCATGATTCCCAGTATTGTGTGGTTGTGTACCATTTTGTAATCTGGTGTGATTTCCTTATGTGCTGTAAACTCTGTCGCTTATGATGTAATAAGATGATTAGCGGCGGTTATACTGATGAGGTCCGCAAGATTAGACAGTGTCTTAAGCGAGTCTCTTTTGAGATATGACAGAGAGAAGCCAGCAGAGACACATGGGGACCTCACACCACCAAGAAAGTAGTGCCCGGAACAAAGCGCCTCCTTTGGACCTGAGGTTCCTGCGCTGAGATGCTCCCAGACCAAGGGAAGACTGAGGCATCACAAGGACCTTCCTCCAGAGCAGACAGAGAGAAAAAGCCTTCTCCTGGAGCTGATGCTCTGAATTTGGATTTGTAGCCTACTGGACTGTGAGAGAATAAACTTCTCTTTGTTAAAGCCATCCACTTGTGGTATTTCCGTTAGAGCAGCACTAGATAACTAAGTGGTAAATGTTGAATGAATATCTGTTGAATCCTATGATTTCCTTGCTTCAAAAATCAAGCAAAACCCCAAACCTTCCTTGGATTCTCATTGTGCCTTCCAGGGTAATGTTTACTTTCCTCTTGTTCATTTATTTCAGAAGTATTCATTGTTGCTGTTTTAGATATTGAAGATACAATGGGGAACATAGAGATGTACACCCTGCCCTCTGGATTTTACAGGCCTCTAGGGGACCCTGCCAAATCAACAGAAAATCACAATACTGCATGGTTAGGGCTATAGGAGAGAAGGCCGGGGGCCTGCAGGGGCACGGGACACAGAGGAGGGGAGGAGGGCACTTCAGCCAGACTAGCTAGCTTCAGGAAGGCACCTAAGCTGGGACCTGTCAATTTGTCATACTGTGGTGGCTTGTGTGTTGCTATGATGCTGGAAGCTATGCTACTGTATTTCAAATACCAGCAAGGTCACCCGTGGTGGACAGGTTTCAGCAGAGCTTCCAGACTAAGACACACTAGGAGGAAAGGCCTGGCACTCTACTTCTGAAAATTAGCTAATAAAAACCCTATGAATCACAACAGAATATTGTCTAATACAGTGCTGGAAGACAAGCCTCCTAGGTTGGAAGGCACTCCAACAGTAGATTCGAGCATATTAACAATTGTAAAGATGCTGCAGGCCTGGGCAAGTCTTCTTTCTGTTGTATGTGGGGTTGCCATGAGTTGGGGCAACTCGAAGGCAAATAACAACAGCAAAGCTGGGACCTGAGTGATGAGTAGGCCTGGGAAGAGTAATTAGCCAGGAGGAAGATGGACATGTGGTGGTGGGGGGGCAGGTAATGGGAAGGGGAGTGAGAGAGGAAAAGCTGGGGTCCCAGGAAAGGGAACAGCACATACAAAGGCTTGGAAGTGGGAGACAGCATGGTGGGTTCCAGGAACAGAACAGTTTGGTGTGGCTGGAACGGAGTGTGGAGCATAGTGGTGGGAGAGATGGGAAGGGGCCATCCGTGGTGAGAGTTCAGGCTCCATCCTAAGATGGTCAAAGTCCTCCACTTTCCCGCTGCATTTCCCCTATGCCCCACTTGGCACCACTTTTCTAAGCCCTTGCTTCAGCTACTCCCTGTCAGTGAATTCTTGTGCTTCCTCCTGCAGTCCTCCCTCCCTCAGATATTTACTGAGAGCCGCCCTGCGTCAAGCGCTGTGGTGGGTGCTGGGAACCCAGAGACTGCCAACACCTGGCCCCACCCTGGGACAACTCCCAGGGCTAATGGGGCAGACAGCCCAGGAAGAAATAAGTATGTGATAATGAGAGAAATGTGCCAGAGGGTACTCTGGGCATGGAGGAGGCGAGGCCTGCGGGGTAGAAGGAAGGTGACTCCTGAACCGGGTCTTGAAGGACAAGGAGGCATTAGGCCCTGGACAAGGGGTAATAAGAAGGGAATTAGGGAGCATCTAGGGTAGGTTTAAAGCCTGGCTTTGCGAGGGCCACAGCACCCTTGAGATCCGAATACAGGCTTGAACCCCCTATTCAGGTAACACACACACAGGCTTACCACAATTTTGTAGGCAATTTTGGAGTGTCCTTGGTCCTCCTTAGGAGCCCTGCTGGCGAAGTGGTTAAGCGCTCGGCTGCTAACCAAAAGGTCAGTGGTTCAAACCCACCAACAACTCCATGGGAGAAAGATGTGGCATTCTGCTTCCATAAAGATTACAGCTTTGGAAATCCTATGAGGCAGTTCTACTCTGTCCTATAGGGTTGCTATGAGTTGGAATCAACTTGGTAACTGGACTTGCCGGGAAAGAATGCCTTCCCCTCCCCCTCTGGTTCCAGTCCACCTCCTTCACAGGCCTGCAAAACTCCCTCTGCAGCTCTAGACTTTGTACTTGTCACTGGAAATTTATTTGCTTTATCATGGCCACCAGCCTGAGCAGCTGCCTGTTGAGGTGTCTGCTCCTTCTAGGGCCCAGCTGTTCCAACCCACCCAGCACTGAGATGTAGGGGTGGAGGTGAGGTCTGCACGCTTAAGGTTCTCGTCAAAAGCTGGGCGGATGTAGAACCAGGTCCTCTCGGTTGGAGACGCTGCCTACTGCTCAGCCCTCCGCCCTCACCTGCAGCTTCAGCCCCGCCTGCTGCCTCCCAGGTAAGTCAAGTGGAGGCTCTGTCCCGCCCACCTGTCCAGGTTCTGCCCGCCCAAGCCGGAAGCTTCCTCCACGGACTTGCATGGTCCCTGAAGGTGGGGAGTGGAGGGGGAATTAATTGGGAGACCTAGAGAGGGGGCACCCAGGCTCTACACAGACCCTTGGGGGCTGCCGTGTGCAGGAAAGAAGCTACAGTCAGGGTATGTGTGTTTGTGTGGTGTCTGTGGAGGAAAGTGTGACTGGAGGGGTGGAGTGACAGACTGTGTGTGATGGGGGGATGGGCAGGTCAGTGTGGGGTGTGAGTTCAGAGGCCTTTTGGGGGTGCCTATGTGCTGTTGGGAAAAATTCATAAGAATAGTACAAGCAGAAAAGGGATGGGAGTAAAATCTTAGATACATCAAATTGAATTCAATTTATTTCAATTTAACAAATTCTTATTTTTTGAGGACCCAGTGCCTAGGGTGGGGCCCACAGTAGGCACCCAATGAGTACTTGCTAATGCATGAATGAGTGAATGATTTACCTCTCCTTTCTAATTACACCTCCACCAGTATACCAGCTCACTCGCTTGTCTCACAAGCCTGCATTGAGCAACGTGCCAAACTCTCGGCCGGCGCCAGGGCGCAGACCAAGCAGCCTAGAACCTGTGCTCAGGATGCTGCTGTCTAGTAAATGGCCAGTTCTAACTGGTATGTGGGCAGGGCAGTGAAGGGGGACAAGCTCACGGACAGATGGGGACTGATTTGGCCTTGAAGAATGCAGGACTCAAAAAACTGAGGAGGGAATGGTGGGGAGGAGGAGGGTGGGCGGTCCGGGAGGGGTGTGTCTGTGTCTGAGGGGAGAGTGGGGAGGAAGAGGGTGGGCGGTCCGGGACGGGGTGTGTATGTGTCTGGAGCAGGAGAGGGAACTGTGAAGGGGAAGAAAAATCTGACCTGAGGCCAGGAGTGGGATTGTGAGGCACTGAGGATACGGTGAGGAAGCTGCACACAGCCCTGAGGGGAATGGAGAGTTCTTGAAGGATTTTTAAGAAGGGGAGTGATAAAGCCCAAATCCGATTCTATCACTCTGGGGTATGGACTAGAAGTGGGGAGGGACCAGTTAGGAGATAATTTCAAAAGTTGAGGTAAAAGATGACGATGGCTTGGACTAGGGCAGTGGCAGCAAAGTGGAGAGGAGGGGCTTATCTATCCCAGAGTGTTTACAGGGAGGACTGATGGGACTTAATGGTAGGTTGGAGGTAAGGAGGGGGAGAGTCATTGAGGCATGGGTATTAAAGAACATGGCGGAGTACCCCCTAACCTAGGTGCTTCTCTCCTAGATACTCTCCTAGCCTGGATACTCCTCCCCCAGGTACTCCTCTGATTCAAGTGCCCCACCTGCTGATACTCTCCAGCACCAACTGCACCTCCTCCAGGTACCTCCCTAACTTAGGCTCTCTTCCTCTAGATACTCCCCAACCTCAGGTGTTCCTCTCCAGACACTCCTCTGGTTCAGGTGCTCCTCCTCTAGATATTTCCAAGCCTAGATGATCCTCCTCTGGGTGCTCCCAGCCCTAGGTGATGCTCATCCAGATACTTTCCTGATTCAGATGATCCTCATCTAGATACTCCCCGGCTAGAGCCTTCCTTGGGGGTCAGAGTATGGCCCCCCATGGGCAGAGGTGAATGGACAAGGGGTTTAATTGAAGGGGTGAAGGTAGAGTTGGGGTGGCTGTGGCTCCTGACTCAGGAGTGCAGGGACCAGGGCTGCCCAGGCTGTGTCTGCATTGTCCTCCATGTGTGGTCTCCACTCTGGCTGGTTAGCTCCAAGCAACTGGGGTCATCCAATCTTTAGGAGCCAGGACATGCCTCTGCCCATACCTCCCCTTTTCAGCCTACCAAGCAGTGTTGTAGACTGGGCTCTGGCATCAGAGACTTGGATCCAAATCCTGTGATTTTGGCTGCGTCAGTTCACCTCTCTGAGCCTTATCTATAAAGATGGATATTGTTCATATGGTACCCACATCATAGGGTTTTGTGAGTATTTTGCCTGTTTTCTTTTTTTAAGCAGTTCCCAGAGCTGGACCCTGCACTGTTCCCTTACAAACAGCTGATTTCTATGTGCTCAGCTTATTTCTCTTCTGTGGACAGCTGGTTATGGCCCAGATGTCCAGTGTCCAGAGTCTGTACAATGAGTGAGTGTGACCTGCCATGTGTGCCCTGTGGCCATCCATGACACCTACACATCTGCATTTTCCAGGATTCTGTACCCAGGAGCTGCCTGGAATCTGGAGGTGTCCTTGGAGCCAGGACTATTTCTGGCAGAGGCCAAGGCTCACCCATGTCTTCAGGCCCCTCCATGAATGAGACAAACCAAAGTAAGTGCCAGAGGGAGGGTAGTTGAGGAGGGGTGCCAGGAGGACACTGCCCCCACACCTCTCAGTTTCTCCGGGGAACACTATCTGGGACCCCACCCTTAATGCAGTCCCTTTCTTTGCAGCAACACCAGCCACGTCCCCTGCACTGGGCACTGGGGCCCGGGCGTGGCCTGTGCTGGTAGGGGTTGTGCTGGGGGCTGTGGTCCTCTCTCTGCTCATCACACTTGCTGCCAAATGCCACCTCTGCCGCAAATACCGCACCAGCTACCAGCACCGCCATCTGCCTGAGACAGGGAAGAGGAACTGCCCAGAGGTGGGTGAAGATGAGGATGATGATGGCTTCATCGAGGACAATTACATTCAGCCTGGGGCTGGTGGGCTGGGGCCAGATGGTAGCAGGGATCACTTCTCCCTCTGAGCCCTCCGCTGGGCCCCTCTACCCATGTCTGACAGCTTAAGAATAGTAGGTACTACATGGGAGCTGTGAGCCTCAGGGACAGCAATGGCTAGGGTTTAAGGGTAGAATAGGGCAGGACATTCTGCCGTTCCCTCACGCCTGCCCAAACTCATCCTCTACACTGGCCACCAAATTGACAGTGACCCTCTCCTGCTCAATAACCCTCAATGGCTCCCTGCTGTTCTCAGGATAAAGTCCAACAAGGGCTTGAGTATGGAAATAAGGCCCTTTGTGATCAGGCCTCTGTCAGCCTCTTAGCTATCTTTCTTGCCTTTCCTTACTTTACTCCCAGCTTAACTAAATGTTTGTTACTCCACCACCCACCACACTGCTTTTCCATGTGCCTTTGCTCATGCTGTTCCCCTGCCTAGACTGCCCTTCCCTTCTTCTGACAAATCGTCTGACGGTAATGAAAAACCCTGGACAATAGATCCTACGTGGCCGGCCTGCCTGCCAGCGTTTCAAATGTGCCCAGATGGTAACATTTTAGCAGTTAAAAATTTCTTACTGAAATTTTTTCCTATCCAATAACGTAGGTAATCTAAATTGTTACAACATATTACATTTTTCACAAGGATTAATACATTTATTTGCATTTTGAATAAAAACAAAAAGTCACTTTTATTTTTCCTGAACTGAGGTTTGTGCATAAAAATGTTCTGCAGCATTCACAGCTGGGAGACTGTCCTCAGATGTCCCTTCTCCCAGGACACCTTCCGGGAGCCCCTCCCTCATACAATACCCTGTGTATTTCTCGACCACTGCCCTTGCCACATTTTATTTTAATCTTTATTACAATGTGCACTTACCACTTTCTGTGCCTCTCCCCACCACTAGACTGTGAGCTCTCTGAGGCCAGGGGCTTTGACTTATTCTGTATCCTTAGATTCTTAACACAAGTTGGGTGCTAAATAAACATTTGTTGAATTGCTGTGGGTTGAGGAGTGCAATGAATGAAAGTTGAGCAAGTGGGGTCAAGTGTGGAAGACTTTTTTTATTATTATTTCGAAAATTTTTACACAGATTGTTTTGTGACATTGGTTACAATCCCCACAATGTGTCAGCAGTCTCTCCCTTCCACCCTGGGTTCTCTGTGTCCATTCGTCCAGTTTTCCATTCCCTTCCTGCCTGCTCGTCTTTGCTTTTGGGCAGGCGTTGCCTATTTGGTCTCCTATACTTTGTTGAACTAAGAAGCACGTTCCTCACCTGTGTTATTATTTCTTTTATAAACCTGTCTAATCTTTGGCTGAAAGATAGACTTTGGGAGTGGCTTCAGTTCTGAGTTAACAGGGTGTCCAGGGTGCATAGTCTCAGCGGTTCCTCTGGTCTCTGTCAGACCAGTGAGTCTGGTCTTTTTTTGTGAATTTGAATTTTGTTTTATATTTTTCTCCTCCCTGTCCAGGACTCTCTATTGTGATCCCTGTCAGAGCCGTCGGTGGTGGTAGCTGGGCACCATCTAGTTCTTCTGGTTTCAGGCTGGTGGAGGCTATGGTTCATGTGGTCCGTTAGTCCTTTGGACTAATATTTTCCTTGTGTCTTTGGTTTTCTTCATTCTCCTTTGCTCCAAGCGTGGTGGGACCAGTAGATATATCTTAGATGGCTGCTCGCAAGCTTTTAAGACCTCAGATGCTACTCACAAAAGTAGGATGTAGGACATTTTCTTTATGAACTATACTATGCCAATTGACCTAGCTGTCCTCTGAGATCATGGTCCCCAGCCCTCAGCTCCAATAACTTGGTCCCTCACGGTGTTTGGATGTGTCTAGGAAACTCCTATGGCTTTGCCTTGGTCAAGTTGTGCTGACTTCCCCTATTGTGTTTTGTCTTTCCCTTCACCAAAGTTAATACTTTTCTACTATCTAGTTAGTGATTTCCCCTCCCCACCCCTACCCTCCCTCATAACCATCAAAGCTTGTTTCTTTTCTGCGTATACACCTGTTCTTGGGTTTGTATGATACTGGTCTCATACAATATTTGTCCTTTTGTGGTTGGCTTATTTCACTCAGCACAGTGCCCTCCAGATTCATCCATGTTGTGAGATGTTTCACATATTCATCATTGTTCTTTATTGTTGCATAGTATTCCATTGTGTATATGTACCATAATTTGTCCATTCATATTTTGATGGGCACTTAGGTTGTTCCATCTTTTTGCTATTGTGAATAATGCTGCAGTGAACATGGGTGTGCATATGTCCATTCATGTAACAGCTCCTCTCTAGGATATATTCCTAGGAGTGGGACTGCTGGATCTTATGGTATTTCTATTTCTAGCTTTTTAAGGAGGCGCCATACCATTTTCCATCGTGGATGTGCCATTTTACATTCCCAGGAGCAATGTATTAGAGTTCTAATCTCCCCACAACCTCTTCAACATTGGGTATTTTCTGTTTTTTTGATTAGTGCCGGTAATATCGGGGGTGAGATGGTATCTCATTGTAGTTTTGATTTGCATTTCTCTAAGGGCTAATGGGAGCCCTGGTGGTGAAATGGTTAAGAGCTTAGTGGCTAACTAAAAGGTCAGCAGTACAAGTCCATCAGTTGCTCCTTGGAAACCCTGTGGGGCACTTCTACTCTATCCTATAGTGTCACTATGAGTCAGAATAGACTTGATGGCAGAGGGTTTGTTTGTTTTTTAATGGCTAATGATCATAAACAAGTCTGTCTTGGAAGAAATACAGCCAGAGTGCTCCTTGAAAGCAAGGATGACGGGACTTCATCTCATATACTTTGGACATGTTATCAGGAGGGACTAGTCCCTGGAGAAGGGTGTCATGCTTGATAAAGTAGAGGGTCAGTGAAAAAGAGGAGGACTCTTGATGAGATGGATTCACACAGTGGCTGCAACAATGGGCTCAAACATAATGATTGTGAGGATGGCACAGGACCGGGCAGTATTTTGTTCTGTTGTACATAGGGTGGCTATGAGTTGGAATCAAGTCAATGGCACCTAATAACAACAATTTTATCTTTTTAGGGGCTATTATAAATGATACCAGAGCCCTGGTGGTGGAGTAGTTAAGCGATTGGCTGCTAACCAAAAGGTCAGCAGTTCAAATCCACCAGCCGCTTCTTGGAGGAAACCCTAGGGGGGCAGTTCTACTCTGTCCAAAGGGTCACTATGAGTCGGAATAGACTCAATGGCAATGTTCTCTTTGTTGGTGTATAGGAATCCAGTTGATTTTTTGTATGTTGATCTTGTATCCTGCTACTCTGCTGAATCTTTCTATTAGTTCCAGTAGTTTTCTTGAGGAATCTTTGGGGTTCTCTATGTTTAGGATCATACCATCCACAAATGGGATAGCTTTATTTCTTCCTTTCCAATTTGGATGTTCTTTATTTCTTTTTCTTGCCTTATTGCTCTAGCTAGGACTTCTAGCACAAAGTTAAATAGGAGTGGTGATAAAAGGCATTCTTGAGTATGGAAGATTTTATCAAAAATCTTTGACCAATTGAGGAAGAGGATAGGGTAATAGCTCCTGCTGGGGAGACAGGGACAGGGAAAGCAGTTTTAATATGAGAGACTTGAGTTAAGGTTCTTTTGGTTGCAAGCAATAGAAAGGAATTTTGGGGAAGAATTCTGGCTCTTTCATGGAATCAAAGGAGGAGCTGACTTGGGAGGGCAGGAGGCAGGTTGTCACAGCAGCCTGAGGTCAAGTATTGCACCTCTAGTGCTCTGTGGTTTATGGGCATTAATGAGACTGTCCATTCCTAGGACTCTCAAACTCTCCATTCCTAGTTCCAAGTACTCAAGGGGGAGTATCTGATTGGCCCTGTTTGGCTCAAGTACGCACTACAGGTCCATGCAGCCATGACTGGGGAGCAGGGTCCTGTAGCACAGATGGTAGCTTTTGGGAGCCCACCTGTTTGTTTCAGGTCGTTCCCAGAGAGGAGGAAGTCCTTGTGAACCAGGTGGCCACCCACCATGTGTCCACCTGGATATAGTGTTAGCCTTTAAGGACAGAGCCAGCAGAGAAGGAAAGTGAGGGGATGACTGATAAAGTGAGGCCCTGAGAAAAAGGTGGGAGGCTAAGGAGGGCTGGAGTGTGGGTCTGAGGGGTGCCGTGGGAAGTCATGAGGCTGAAGAGTGGGCCAGGTCAGTTAGGACCTTGGATGCCAAGACAGAGAGCTCATACTTCATCCTGAGGACAATTGAGGCTCATCTGTGGACTTTTTTGGGCAATGGAGTGACGAGATCATTCTGGCTGATGTGCAGATATGGATTGGATGGGGAGAGACCAAAGACTGGGGTCCAGCATCCAAGAGATAGGCGGTAAGACCTGACTAAGGCTTGGCAGAGGGAATAGATTCCAGAGATGTTCAGGAGGCAGGGTAGGCAGTAGTGATTCAGTGGTAGGATTCTTGCCTTCCCTGCTGGAGAATGGGAGACCTGAGTTGTATTTCTGGCCAATGTATCTCATGTGCAGATACCACTCGCCTGTCAGTGGAAGCTTGTGTGTTGCTATGATGCTGAACAGTTTTCAGTGGAACTACCAGATTAAGACAGACTATGAAGAAGGACCTGGCAATCTACTTCTGAAAACTCAGTCAATGAAAACCTTATGGATCATAACGGTCTGATTCCTAAGTGATTGTTCGAATGTTACAGGACCAGGCAGCACTTTGTTCCATTATGCACGGGGTCACCATGAGTGGTGGGATGACTTGATGGCAGCCAACAACAACAACATAGGAGACAGAGTTGACTGTTTGGATATGGGGGAGTAGGAGAGGGAGTCAACGAAGCCTCCCTGGTTTCTGGCTTGGGTGGCTGGGTGAATTGAGGAGGAGCAGGTTTTTGGGGAATGAGGATTCCATGTTGGATGTGGAACTTCCAGGGGGTGATTCCCAGGGACAGCTGGACTCACAGGAGAGAAGTCAGGTCTGCAGACATGGCTTGGGAATGAGCAGCGATAGGATAATTGAGATTTGGGAGTGGATGGATCATTAGGGAGAGGAGCA